GGATTCTTTGGGTGAAATCAAAAAGTAGAGCTAAAGTATACTGGAGTTATTCAAATACATTCAAACTACACAGATCCCTTATAAATTACTAGTATCAAGGTAATAGGGAAAAGATACAAGAAAAAGATATCAGAATTCATCATAGTTATTATTGATTAATTAGATTATTATAGATTATATAATTCTCAAGATTATTGCTACAGTCTATCCTAACAAAGTAGCTTTCTCAACTTGCTTCATAAAATTACCAGCAAAAAAAGAAAAGCATAAGAATAAGGTTCATGGTAAAATTGGCATGATGTCATCACAATTCCCTATTCTAGCATTTTCCGAAGGATCCCATTTGTGAAGCACGCAGAAATCACACCTACATCTGAATGGTTTACTTCTTGATTCACCCTGAGTTTCCTTAAGTCCAGTGTCTGCTAGCTATCTTTCAGGCGGAGCAAATCTGTTGATTAAAACATATCGCAGTCTTGCCAGCCTGCTTCTCTGCTCAGATAACAGCGTCCTCACTCCTCTTCTCCTGTAAGGCATAAAAACGCCACCTCTCATAGCCTGGGAGACTGTTTGTCTTCTAGCCAGTGGTTGGGGTTGGGGTAAATCCTCTGGCGGAGGGGAACGGATATTGGTGCTGACAGTCAACTGACTAAGGTTCCTTATTAAAGTTTCAAGGAAGTTATGAGACTCTGAATTGTCTTGAGAATTTTCTTCAGTGAGCATGTAAGACTCTGGGTCAAGGTTGAGTCAGGCATTTCTGAGAGGCCCAGCGCAGTCTAGTCAGAGCGGTAAGCTCCTCCTGGATCTTTGGGTCTCAGCAGAACGACAGGGAAACCTGAAAGGAACCCTGTCGCTCAGAAAGAGCCTAAAAAGCCAATCTCCAACAGACGGTGCTGGAAGAACTGAACTCTAATTGAGCATTTTTAATTATTCCATTTTATTTGTGGCTTCTTAGCTATAACTCTTTGTCTTATTATTTTAGTAGTCATTTTAAGGTTTATAGTATACATCCTTAACTTATCACAGTCTATTTTCCAGTGATAGTATACCATTTCACATATAGTTTAAGAGATTGAAACTTATTTACAATAGTATGTGTCCATTCTCCCCTCCCAGCCTTTTGATATAGTTATCATACATTTTACTTTTATATATGTTATAAGCCTCACACTACATGGCTATTTTTCTTTCAAGAGCCAACTATACTTTAAAGAGATTAAAATAATAAGAGAAAATATTGTATATTTGCCTATGTAGTTACCACGATTGATGTTCTTTGTTCCTTTGCATAGATCCATATTTCTATGTAGTATCATTTTCATTCTGTTTAAAGCACATCCTTGAACACTTCTTGCACTGAAGGCCTGCTAATGGTGAATTCTTTCGGCTTTTATATGACTGAGAATTCTTTATTTTGCTTTTATTCTTTTTTTTTTTTTTTTTTTTTTTTTTTTTTTTTTTTTGAGACAGAGTCTTGCTTTGTTGCTCAGGCTAGAGTGAGTGCCGTGGCGTCAGCCTAGCTCACAGCAACCTCAATCTCCTGGGCTCAAGCGATCCTCCTGCCTCAGCCTCCTGAGTAGCTGGGACTACAGGCATGTGCCACCATGCCCGGCTAATTTTTTGTATATATATTTTTAGTTGCTCAATTAATTTCTTTCTATTTTTAGTAGAGACAGGGTCTCGCTCAGGCTGGTTTTGAACACTTGACCTTGAGCGATCCTCCCACCTCGGCCTCCCAGAATGCTAGGATTACAGGTGTGAGCCACCGCGCCCGGCCTGCTTTTATTCTTGAAAGATGTTTTCCTGGGTATGAATTCTAGGTTGACTATCTTTTTAATTCAGTACTTTCAAGACATTGCTCCACTGCCTTTGCATTTGCATTATTTTCTATAAGAAATTTGCTGTAGTCCTTATCTTTGTTCTTCTGTATGTAACATGTCCTTTCTTGCCGCCCTCCCCCCCTTTTCTGTTTACTTTTAAATTTTTCTCTTGATTGCTTATTTTGAGTAATTTAATTACGGCGTGCTCAACTGTGTTTTTTCTTCATTTTTATTGTTATTGGCATTTATTAAAATTCTTGTATCTGTGAGTACAAGTATATACTCACAGATATAAAGTGTTCATCAAATTTGGAAATTTGCCAGCCATTAGTTCTTCAGATATTTTTTCGTTCCTTCCCTTCCTCCCTTTCAATTTTACATATAATATTAGGCCTATTGAAGTTGTCTCACAACTCACTGAGAGTCTCTATCTCTTTTTTAAATTCTTCTTTTTTTAGTCTTTTTATTCTCTGTTTCCTTTTGGATAGTTTCTATTGCTCTCTACAAATTAACTAATCTTTTTTCTGCAATGTCCTCTCTGCTATCAATCCTATACAATGTGTTTTTCATCTTACACATTGTAGTTTTCATCTGTAGTAGTTTGATTTAGGTCTTTTTATATCCTCCATGTCTACCATATATTCAATCTTTCCCCTAGCTTTTAGAACATTTGGACTATGGTTATAACTTTTTTGATATCCTTGTCTGCTAATTCTAACATCTGTGCCAATTCTCAATCAGTCTCAATTGATTGACTTTTCTCCCCATTATGGGTTGTATTTTCTTGCTTCTCTACATGGCTGCTCATTTTTTATGGATCCCAGACGTTGTGACTTTTACCTTGTTTATTCTTGAGCTTTGTTCTGAGATGTAGTCAACTCATTTAGAAACAGTTTGATCCCTTCAAATCTTGCTTTGATGATTTGCTAGGCATGTTTGGAGGAGTTCTCAATCTAGGACTAATTATTCTGCACTACTGAGGTAAGCCTTTCCTGAGCAGGCTACCCAATGCCCTGCGAGTTACAAGTTTTCCAGTCTGGCTCGTGAGAGCAGGCACCATTTCCGTCTATGTGTGCTCTAAGCATTGTTCCCTCGGGTCCTTTCAGGAGACTTTCCCTCACTCTGGGTAATCCCATGCTCATCAGCACTCAGCTGAGTACCCAAGTGGGACCCCCATGTGTCTTCGGAGCTCTCTTCCTTTGCAGCTCTCTCCCCTTCATTAGTCCACCCCGTGAGCTCTGGCCGCCTTGATATCCCCAGATTATCTGCTCGGTCTTCTCAACTCAGGGGCTCCAGCAGGCTCTGGGGGGCAACCTCTCCAAGTCACATCAGTGACTGGCCAGTAAGCCAGAGGATCCCTGGCCTCACCGTGCTTGTTTCTCATCTCTCAGTGATCACTTTCCTCATTGCCTGATGTTCAGCTGCTTGAGAACCACCGTTGCATATGCTTTGTCTCATTCTGTAGTTGTTTCAGGTGGGGAAGTAAGTCTGCTCCCTATGATTCTATCTCAGCCAGAAGCCCGGCAGCTACATTTGAAACTTGGAGTCACCCCTCCACTCTGGGCTTCAGGGAAGGGGCAGGCACCTCCTACTCCTCCCCTTAGCAGAGACGCCATTCCCAGCACAGCCCTCCCCAAGGCAGGGCTCCCCACAGACCTCCGTCTGCTACCCACCCCCCTTCATACCTTGCCTGTCTGCAGGGGTGGAAGAATCCTTGCAACCAGCTTTGACAGTTTTCTTTGAAAATCTGTTTCTTCATCTGTTTAATCGCTTTCGTGTGTTACATTTATTTTATTTGGAGGTCTCAGTGAAAATTAAAGGATATATCTAGCACCTGACACATCACAGGTGCTCAGGGAGTATATACTGTCCTAACTTTTTCAGATACTGCCAGCCCACCACCTAAACAAGTGGGTCAAGTCTTGATGGACTGGAGTGCACAGAGCAGCACCTTTGTGTCATGCCAGGTACCAGACAAAAGCCGCCCTTAGCCCCTGACTTAATCCCGTCCACTGTTCCAAACTTAATACCAATGAGAACTGGATGCTGTCCCTTTTACCCCATATACTGGATTCAAGCAAAATAAATGGGCGCAGAGCTAACCCTTCCCGGAGGCCAGCCCTGGGGAAATTTGGGAAAGAGGCAATTAAGCCCCGGCCTCCACATTGCCCGCTGGCGATCACTAACCCGCAGCACTGGCCAGCGCGCAGCCTGCACTCACCCGTCCCTCCGGCCAGCTGGCCCTGCCCTTTCGAGGGGGACCCCAGCGGCCCCACTTCCTGCCTGGGCCTGGCCACGTCAGGAGGATAAGACTCCACGCCTCTTGAGGGCAGCGCAGAGCTGTCTCATCTGGGACACTCGCTCCTCATCCATAAAGAGGCTGCAGTGGAGAAGCCCTGCCCAGCCGACGTCAGTGAGGTGGCATTCTTATTTCCCACTGGCATTTCCCAGTGACACTTCCTCCATGGCGCCTTCCTTGATTACTTCAGGTCATGAAGCCATCACTAAGTCCTTACTGCATTTCTTCACCATTCATTAATTTAAAACATGATTCATCACCAATTAAGCATCAGGAGAGCCTGGATCATAAACCAATGGATAGCACCCATTCCTGCCCTCAGGTCTCCAGGAAACCATGGTTCTGAGGGGCTGGTGGACAGGCAACCAGATGGGACAACAGATGGGTACATGTGATCACAAACCTCACGGGCCACATCCCCAAGAATGAATGAGGTCTGCCCCCCCCAGCCTCCTGCCCGCCAGCGGGGCAGTCCAGAGAGAGAGAAAGCATCAGGGCACAGGTGTCAGGCCCGACAGGGACTGTTAGCCCTGGAGACAAGCTCAGATTGACACACCACTCACACCCCAGGCACTGTGCAAATGCTCCAAATCCATCATTTCTCCTGCAAAACCCCCCTGGTAGGGACTTTTAGTGTCTCCCTTTCACAGATGGGAAAACTGAGGCTTAAAGAGATTAAGCAGCCTCTGGGGGTCACACGTGAGCAGTGCATGAGACTTGTACACAGGCAGCCGGGCCCCAGAGCTGGGCTCAACCCTCTCCCACGCCGTGTGGGGCTCTGCCCTGTCCAAACCGCCAGTCCCCGCCCCACGTCCACACCCCTGCTTGGCTTGGTCTTCTCCTTAGCACATATCCTTAACATGTGTATTTTACCAACTTACCTTGGTTTTTTCCCCCGTGCTATAAGGTCAGCTCCGCGAAGGGTGGGTTTTTGCCTGTTTGTCCACCGCGTGGACCCCCAGCACCTGGCACGCTGCAGGAGCCACGCGTGTTTGCCGATGAGTTAGTAGATGGATGGATGAGGGGGGGGCGAGCAAGCGACTCGGTGGTCAGCCTGGTCCTGCCCCTGTCCCTGACTCGGCAGTGCCTCCCACAGGACGGTGGCACAGGCTGGCCACTGACCTTCCGCCATGGGGGCTGAGCAGGCGGGCTGGGCCAGGGCCATGCTGCCCCTCTCCACACAGGCAGGCCCTGCCTCGGGGCTTCCGCACCTGCTGTTCCCGCCCCCCAGCCGTTCCTCCCTCAGACAGCCGCAAGATGTGGTCCCCACTTCCTTCAAGATTTTGTCAAGTATCACCTTCCTAATGAGGCCGAGCTGGCTCCCCCTACCCACAACTGCAACCAGCAGCCCCGCACACCCCAGCTCCTGCTCCCCTCACTGGGCTGTGCTTGTTCTTTTCCTACAGCATTTATCTCTTTTGAACGACACGAGGCATAATCCGCTTGTTTATCACGACTATTTATTGTCTGTCTTCCCGACTCAGAATCTTGGCTTCATGGGCGGGGGAGGGGCAGGGGGCTTCTGTCTTCTTCACTGTCGTGTCCCAAGCAGGGTACACAGTGGCATCAATGCATGCTCAGCAAGAGCCTCGTGCGGCGGAGAGGCTGCGCTGTGTGTGACGCAAGGACAGCACAGTGAGTCCCGACCGTGGGGTGCCACCCTGCACACCTGCTGTGCTGCGGGACCACGCTAGGACCACGCTAGGACCCTGGCACGCACTGAATAGATTTGCTGCAAAATAAAGGGTGGATTCACGCCAGGGCCTTCTGGAAGGAGAAGCCCGTGTCAGCAGCCGGCTCTCCACATCACCCTGAACACGCCCTTGAAGGACAGTGAACACGGAGCGGCAGATGCCCGGCCTCGCTCTAATTGCTTCCAACAGTTCCCGGTCCCCTGGGCTGCGTTTAACCCGCTCCAGGACCCACCCCGATTAATGGTTTTCGATTTCTGTCCACTCTTTGGTCAGGGAGCAGCAGCTCTAAAGTCACAACAGCCTTGGTGTACTGTTACCTAGCAACAGCCATAAATCAACAGAACATGCTAGAATGTTACAGCAAACCTCCCCGGCTGTGAGAGGTGTCTGCCTTTCTAACCCGCACGTGTTCGTTTGCCCCGCGCTGAGGCTGCACCCCGCCTGCAGCCTCCCGGCCTCACGGAGGACCTGGGTTTGTACATCGTTAAACCCCCATGGTCTGTCGAATTGTTCCACGGGAGTCTTGTGCTTTCTTGGCACCGTGGCCAGCACCCGGGACGGGACCAGGCAGGCTTGCCGGGCATGGCTGCAGCAGGACCCTATCCGTCCAGCCTGGACACCTCCTCCCAGCCCTAAAGCCAGGGGCCCGGGGCGGCCCTGCAAAGGGGCTGGACACAGGGGACTCCGCTCCCTCCCGCAGCTCTCACGTTGGCCCTTGTAACACATTCGTTCACTCACTTGCTCGTTCATTCGGTCACTCAACAGACAGGAACACAGCACTCCCTGCATGCCAGGCCTGGTGCCAGCCCCCCTCAGGGCCCTGCCCTCCCAGAGCTCGTACCCCACATGGGGAGGGCACTGAATATAACATAATGTGGCGACGCAGGACCCCCGACCCAGACAGGGCCGCCCTGGGCCAGGCTCAGTGCCAGATGCTCAGGCTACAAGAGGGAACGAGACAAACCCCACTGCTGACTCAGGGAGCACCCAGCCCAAGCCGAGGCCGGCAAGTACACCGGGCGCCAAGTGGCATGTCCAGGCGAGTGCGCGGGTACACAGGTGCACAAGGAGGCAGGCCGCGTGACCAGGCAGGGCAGAGGCCTTCCTGGAGGAGCAGAAAGGTGTCAGCAGGGATTGGGCAGGTGGGCACCTGGGACAGAGAACAGGAGCCATGGGCAGAGGGGAGCCAAGCACCCAGCCCCGCGCTGGAGCCCAGCTGGGGGTGTGGGGCTCACTGCACAGTGCGGAGCTGAGCCGGAGCAGGAGGGTTTTATTCAGAGACTCCCGCTGCTGTGTAGAGAGGCTGCCTGGGGCCAGGTCAGGGCAGAAGGTGGCTGAGGAGGCTGCTGCCACGGCCAGGCTGGTGGTGGCTTGGCCCAGGGACATACTGCAGGGAGGAAGGTGGAGGACCCTGCTGTCCCCGTGAAGGCAGGGCATGTTGGGGAAGAGGTGGGTATGGCTCCCCGACCCCCCACACCAGGCCGCCGGCCCTGACTCTCCCACCTGCTCAGCCTGCCCCAGCGCAGGGCTGCCTGGGCCCCACAGCCAGCACTGAGTCCTTGAAGATGGCAGCTCGTATTGGGACGAGTATGGGTGACAGCCCAGAGGCTACAGATGGGCCGACCCACAGCCCAGCCCATCTGCCACACCTAAGATGACCCAAGGGACAGCAAGCTGGTGTCAGTGCAGCAAATGCCACACGACCATCCAAGAGGCTGGGCGGCTGGCTGGGCCCCAGAACTCAGCCCAGAGGGTGAGGCGAGAGGCTCGAGTGAGGGGTCAGACCCGGGCTCATGCAGGCCCTGGCAGTGAAAGCAAGTGCCGGGGGTGGGGTGAGAAGAGGCAAGTCGTGGCGGAAGTTCATCTGGGCTGATGGGCGTTCCCTGAGCACCTGCTGTGCGGGAGACTCCGGCGGTGCTGGGAGGTGCAGGTGCGAGATGTCAGGGCCAGTGCCACGGTGTGAGGCGCACAACAGCACCACGGGAACAGGGGCCTGCTCCAGAGGAGGGGCAGTTCCCAGGAGCCTCAGTGCTTGGTCTGAGTCCACACCTGAGCAGCAGTCACCGAAGGAAGGAGGAGAGCCATGAGCCATCAGGGCACCACAAGCAAAGGCAAGCTGGCCAGCAGCTGGATGTGCCCATGACTGCAGGAACCGAGATAGAGCAGCCAGTTACGTATTCTCGCAAGAGGAATGGGTGGGGGTGTGGGGGGGTGATGGGGAATTTGCCCTAACTATAGTACAGGTATGAAGACTTACCACAAAACTGTAACCCTTAAGGCCATGTGACACTGGCACAGGATAAACACACAGATCAATGGAACAAAACAGCATCCAGACTGTGCACACAAGGAAACGTGACATAACTCGGAGAGGACATGTCAGAACAGTAAGAAGTAGACCATTCACTGGGTGGTGCTGGAAAATTGTTTTCCTTTTGGAAAAAAAATAAATTTGGATCCCTACCTCAGACCCTACACAAAAATAGGTTCTGGCCGGGCGCGGTGGCTCACGCCTGTAATCCTAGCTCTCTGGGAGGCCGAGGCGGGCGGATTGCTCAAGGTCAGGAGTTCAAAACCAGCCTGAGCAAGAGTGAGACCCCATCTCTACTATAAATACAAAGAAATTAATTGGCCAACTGATATATATATAAAAAATTAGCCGTGCATCGTGGCATATGCCTGTAGTCCCAGCTACTCGGGAGGCTGAGGCAGTAGGATCACTCGAGCCCAGGAGTTTGAGGTTGCTGTGAGCTAGGCTGATGCCACGGCACTCACTCTAGCCTGGACAACAAAGCGAGACTCTGTCTCAAAAAAAAAAAAAAAAAAAATAGGTTCTAAGTAAATGAAAGGTTTGACCATAAAAAGCAAAACTTAAAAACTTTTGCAAGACACAATAGAAGACTGTTGGCATGGCTGTGGGGTAGGATAGGATTTCTTAAGTCCCAGGTACAAACTATCGAAAGATCAATGCATTTTACTACCTTAAAATCACCCTAAACAAAGCGAAAAGACAAGATAGATGCAGATAAAATGCACTTGCCACATATAAAATGAACAACTGATTAAGAGAGAAAATGTACAAAGAACTTCTAAATATCAACAAGAAATCACAGAACCCAATAAAAATGTTTGCACAAACCAGAGAACAGTGTTTCCTAGAAGAGGTCATGAGAAGTGCCTAGAAACATGTGGAAAGATCTCCAGGGAAATAGAAATTAAAATCACATGAAAAACCATTAACACCCACCAGATTGGCAAAATCCAAACAGCCCTGGAATGCAGAGGGCTGGGGAGGGGCCGCGTCGCGCCCACGTGCTGCTGACAGCAGTCCTAGCGCAACGGGTGGGGACGGTGTGTGTGAGCATGCAGTGCCCCTGATGTGCGCTCCCAACCCCCAGCAACGCCTCTCTAGCAAACAATCTAGAGAAACCTCTAGAGCCCACATCTCAAGAGATAATGCAGTAATGGCAGCGGCACATCATCACGAAAACAAAGTATGGGCAACAACCCAATCCACGAGAGGGTGGCTCCATCCTGGTGCGTTCAAACAAGGGACAGGGCAGCGGAAACACGCACACAGCCGCCACACACATCAACGCACAATGCTGAGGGAAGGCGGCCAGGCTCTTGAACACACAGAATGTTCTATTTATAAAATAAAGCCCAAAAGCCATCCCAAGGGAACATTAGCTGGTTTAGGACTACATGCTTGTGCTACACCTTAAAACCTGGCAAGGACAGCACTAATGTTCTGGATAGTGGCTACCTTTGTGGGGAGGGAGGGGAGGATTTGGGAAGGAGGGTCACTCCCCAAATAATAGTAATAGACTAATAATACACTATATAGTAAGCAGAGTCCACAGGTGCTGTGACTTGTTATTATGCACCATAATCTACACACACATTACAATGTGTTCTTTTGTATGTATCAAATATGTCATAGTTTTATGCACATAACAATAGAAATTAAAATATTGAGGATTAAAAAAATAGCAGTGAGGTGGAGATAACTCATTGGGTGAGCCATGTTGATCTTAGTGACAGACAGCAGTTTGTAAAGGAGACCATGGAGGTGACACCCTGCGGTCCAAGCTAGCGAAGAGCCAGTGTCTGTGCAGGCCCAGGGGACCAGGGTGGCCAGTGCGGGAGCCTCCGGAGCAGACTGCATGTTCCCCTGTGCAGCAAACATCCACATCCCTGTGGAGCCCAGTGGGCTCCCGGGCCGTGCCAGGCCCTGCATGGGGACACAGGCCACTCCAACAGTCACCCACAGGGGCAAGGGCTCTTCCCCGAGCCGTCTCTAGATCACTCTCATCTCCTCTCTCCATCCCAGGGGGACATCACCATGTTTCTTAGTGGGGCTGGTGTTGAAACAGGTGTCCTAAAATCTAGGTCCCTAATAATCTGGGTGACAGAAAAATTATCCAGAATTTCACCCGACATGGGAAAGTTGAGTGGGTTAGACAGCTCCAGGCAAAGAGGACCAGGCAGAGCAGCTGGCAGGTGGGAAGCAGGATGCAGTGACCAAACGGGACTGGGGAAGGGGAGGCAGGCCAGGTGGCTACTCCCGCCCTCAGGTGCCCGCACTAGACTGGGCCCCGGGAGCTGTGACTCTGGCTTTCATCCCAGGGCTGGGGCCCCACGCCGTATGCTGAGGGGCTGAATGAGAAACCAGCCCGAGCTGCTGGGAGGAAGGACTAACCCAGCCGCCTCCAGGCCCGCCCAGGGTCTGGCTCGGGAAACACTTTCTCCCGACGCCCCA